AATATTGCAGCTATTTGTGAACGAATTTTTCTCGTAAGGAGATATTTACCATGTCTCTAAGAAATGGACCCATATATGATTTCTAAACTGATTAAATGATGTTCCCATTATGCTTTGCACGCTTAGAGTTTAAGGTTTGCAAAGGACAACCTTTTTTGAATTAGCTGTATATAATAAAACAATTATTGAATTCGGTTTTCGTATGATATCCGGCTTCGGTGGATAACACAAACCTCGGCCTTGATAATTCTCGATATCATACGAAAACCGAATTCAATATTAAGTCTACTGCGACGGCACAATTACGACTAATGATAAAACCATGTTCGCATTTTCAATTTCATCTATTTTTCCAATATATATTTCCCTTCGCTTCCAACGCTGGTACCGAGGTCAGCTACACGCGTAAGAAATCTCACATCTTGTAGCAAGTCTGCCAACACTGCTTGTCCCAACTTGTCAACAAGTTTGGAACAAGCTGTTAACAACTTGTAACAATCTTGTTGATACTATCAGACTTGTTGCAAGGTTGTTCCAACAAGTCCGATACAGTCATGAGATAACAATATTGTCACAACCTTTTGTCGTCAACCTTGTAACATGCTTGTTATATCATGACTGTATCAGACTTGTTAGAACAACCTTGTAACAATATGTTTGCGATGTTACTCTGAGTGCATATCCACACCGGGCGAGCTTGAAAAATATGCCCGGCCACGGTGGGATTCGAACCTACGACCTTTGGAATACTAGCCCAATGCTCTTCCAACTGAGCTACGCGGTCAGGACGGTATCGAACCGAAGAGTAACATCGCAAACATATTTTCTGAAAAATTTATATTCTCAATGAACATGTTTTTTGCGCTGTTGTTTCGGTATTAATTCTTTACAAAAACTTGTATTTAAACTAATTTTTATGTAATAAATGTATTTTGCTAACCTGTCAAATTTTTTTGAGAGTTCTTCCTTGTACTATTATATTTCTCAAAGCCACTGGTATACACCAAGACTGGATAGAGCATCCGGTGTTCAGAAGTGAAGTCGGAAGTGAGCTGACGGCCGCCATATCGAATGGCCTGACTTGAGGAGTGAATACTATAGATTTCTATTACAGAATGTATAGTTTTCGCTTTAAAACGCTTATTTTCTTCTCTTGGACCGAAACAAACCTTGTTTCAGGAAAGGAGTATATAACATGAATGCTTCAAGAAGTAAATTTGAAGTTTGTAACCATGAAATCACAGAGAAGACCGAAGTTTTGTGTCGTAATAATGATGCCACGTACTGTGCGAAGACTGAAGATGTGAACGTTTGTTAAACTTTATTGAGAACAAATGAATTCAACAAATATTCATCTAAACATATACAATTAAAAAGACCTGTACTCAAACGGACAAGGCACGAACTGGACGTAAAGTCCATTGCATGGTGCCCCTCCTCTTCCTAACATATAGACCTTTTAATTCACAGTATACTCTACAAGGTGTCCCAAAAAAACCAAAACCACTGAAACAACGCACTGCTAGAATCCGAACGCCTCAGCACCAAACTGAACGTAAAGATGCGTGAAATATGATCGATAGGATGCATATATTTTGATTATTGAAGAAATTAAAATATCTTTGCAAGCTTACGATTTTCTGCTCTTTGGGAATTTAAACAACTTCTTAAACAGTTTCTTTATTCATAAAATTTACTTTTGTCAAGCTTTTATGCACTTATGGGTTCAGCAGAGTGCTAAGGCAATCATTCCCCCAAACAACACGCCATCTCAACAGCTTTGGGGCACCATGTATAACATATTTACTTAATAAATATTAATATTATGCATGCACATTAATTTGATTAGTTAAGTTAGTTTATTATTTGTGACATCCACAATCACGTTTAAGTGACCAGGTGCAAGTCTAGCCTGCTCACAGGCTTTATTATATAGAGCCTGCGACTTTTATTGATATTTTTTCAATACGCCCCCTTTGAGATAATTGAATATCCGGTAAATAATAGCCAATCAAAGCAAGTTTTGTTAATTAGATTACCAGAGGTTATTAACAACAACAAACAGTTTCTCGCGC